GCTTATAATAGCAAGAACCTAGAAAACTCAAAATGCCTATTAGTGAACCACGGTACAGCCATAAAATGGGATAATATTCCGGTGCTAATGGAGAAAGAGACAGGCCTCTATGTGTTGATGAGGAAAAACCTCCAACAGATATTAAGGAATAAAAGCAAGGGTTGTCTGTACCTCAACACATCTAAAGAGTCATTTGTAAGAATTCTGGAAGAGTATATGAGAAACTTAAAAGTGGTCACCCCTCAAGAATAGGTCTGAGAGTATATGAAATGTGACTATCCCATTTATTTTAAATTCTCCTGTACTGTTTTATTACTACATGTATTATTATTTTATGAGTAAGAATGGTAACTCTATGCCATATTTTCTGCATGGTCTGGAAGCATCTACCTTCTCTTTGTAGGAGGGGGTAAGGGAGCATTCTCCCCAGGCTCCCCAAGGCAAGGCAGAGTCTGCTTAAATGGGTGTTTGGCCACGCCTCTCCAGCCACAGCCTTCAGACATGATCAAGGCTCCTGCCCTCACTCACTCCTTCCTCCTTTGGGTGGCCTAGATGCATAAGTAGAAAGAATGTTTAATTTCTGTTCTTCCAGTTTTAGGTCTAAGTCATCCATCACTGAAAAGTGAACTTGAAAGAGAAAGAGTTAGTTATCCCACTGCAAAAGATACCAAAAGAACTATGAGTGTTTCTTCTAATGCTACTTATGTAATTATACTGTTACTGAGACAAGAATCAAACAAAAATGTTTTCAACTTTCAAGTATGTACCTGCGGTGCTTCCAAATTCCATGAGACCCAGAAAGATGGAGGTCCACGGGGCTTTCTTTCCCAATTTAGAATCTTGTGTTTGTCTCTCTCAAAAATACTAAGCAACTATTTCATCTAAAATTGCTTCCACACAAGAAATTCAAGGATACTGAAGTTGCAAAGATGAAGTGGAATCTACATTCCAATTTTCTGATGATGATAATCTTAAAGGGTATTTGAACTTGACTGGGTACTTATTCCATCAAAGACATGCCCCCAATCCCATGGAGAAGGAGAGGAGGCAAAAAGGAAAGTCACAAGACATCATACCTCTGTTCTTCCTATTATATGACCTGAGACTTAAGAAGAGTAACCTTTCCGAATCATATAAAAGCAGTCCCTACAGTGTTTTTCCTTTTTCAGAAGACTGTGGGGGCTCCTGGGTGGCTCAGTTGGTTAAGCATCCGACTTTTGATTTTAGCTCAGGTCATGATCTCATGGTCATGAGATCGAGCCCCACACTGGACTCTGTGCTGACAGCACAGAGCCCCATCTCAAAATAAATAAATTCACATTGAAAAAAAAAAAAGAAGACTGTGATACATAGGCATTTACTGAAGTTTGTTTATTTATTCATCATTCATTCTCGGGGTCAGGGTTTATTTTTGTTGTTGCTGCCTTGGCTTTGCCAATGGATATATAGAAAGTAAAGCCAAATGTCTACTAGAAAAAAAAAGTCTAATATCTACTCAGCTGAAAAACTGCTCCCACTAAATCTGATTTTATGGAAGCATTCTGACACACACATACATACACACAGTGATTTCATTTTTGGTTGGGGAGGGGTATTCAAGTAATTAGTGGCAAGGACAAACTAAGGCTGGGTGCACTGAGCTGTCTGTGGTACTGAAAACGACACCAGAGCTGCAATGCACTGAGCTCTGTTCTTTCAAAGCCTCCTCATCACACTATTTTAATTCAGGCACTTCCGACCATGACTCACCTGAACCATCTTATTTTGCCAGAGTGTGTATAAACATTTTATAAAAGGTCACATTGACTTACTTTCCAAGGTTCTCCATGGAAATGTCAGGGCCTCCCCAAGCTTCGTTAAGCAATTCCGGTGGACAGAGAGCCAGAACTCTGGCTATCATGCTTTGCCTGAATGCAGTGAGAAATCATACCATGTACCAGAAACCCACACTAGCTAGCTCTCACCATCCAATCATCATGCTGGTATGCTAAATGGGAAACGGAAAAACCTGTCTTTTAAGACCACATGCTACATCCAAAGACATGCTCTGATCAGCAACATAACCCCTGTGCTGAATTCTTTCACTCAGAGCAACTCAGTATGTTTGGAACTGTTAACAGTAAACTGAAAAACTCCTACTTGCTTAAAACTTATGAAAGAAATACACCTATAGCAGTGACATCAATAAGTAGAAAGAAAGAAAGAAAGAAAGAAAGAAAGAAAGAAAGAAAGAACAATTCTTCATTTTCCATACATATATGCACAAACCTGTGCACTTACTTAGTTCCACTGGGCTTCAGGGTGAACTACTTTGGTGATACCACTAACTCTATTATCTCAATAAATTAGTACATGTTTTTCTGGCTCTTGACTTCCAGCTCAGGGTCCTCAAGTGTATTTAGTCTATTTAGTCCTTTCCCCAATTTATACATTTTAAAAAGCAACTCAGATAAGAATTTGCAGCTTCAGCATGAGGAAGAAACGCCCTCAGATAAAATGCTGAGTGTAAAAGCGACACCCAAAACAACCAAATGATATTACCCGAGCATCTATCTTTAAATTCTCTTCAGTGTGGCTGCTTTAACAGAAACTATATATCATATAAAATAAACCCAATTTTAAAAATCTAACATCCTGTGATATTTACGTCGCCTGAACAGTAGAGAAGTTCACTGTGCTTACAAGTTTTAGAGGAACAACTCATGTCCTCAATTTTGTCACCCATGCCATACATCTTCTAATCAATAGATCTGTGCATTTATGAAACGGAAATAGTCCTCAAAGTGAGCCAGTGAATGGAATTCCAAGCGTGAAAAATCTCTAAAAATATGATTCCTTGTATTTTTATTAGTTTCTAGAAGGCTCAAGAGTGCTAATATGGTATCAAAAAAAATTGTTAACAACACATAATTAACATGTGGCCACTCCTCACAAAGTCCTTTAAGTTATTTACAAAAGCCTCCCGATGATTCTGAAAAAGTCAGTGTTTTCAGGCAGAAGACACTTTGCTCTTGATATCATCCAATGTCTCCCTAGAGAATGCTCATGTAGCTGTGTGCTTTTCAGAAGGAAAGCCCAATGGTGAGAAAGCCAATGCTTACTAAACACACCAGCAAGCTCTCTTTCCAGGACGAATGAAGTAAAACCACTCTAGTCCCCAAGTTTTGTTTTCAGTTACTTGATCTTTTAAAAAATACCTGAGAAGATTTTAATACATTGAACCTATCCATATTCCAAACTTTTAGATTTAGAGAGAAAACATGGACAAAGAAGCTATCTGGACTAGACGCTGGAGGTCTGGTCACACTCTGCCCTGTGTTGCTGGGCAATCTGGCAATCTACTCACCCCTTACGATTTCAGATTCCTCATCAGTAAACTGAGTCAAAGGACCATTCAGTCCTATTTTGTTCCTCCCAGCTCCAAGTGTCTATTCTTAAAGTCAAAACAAGAAGCTATGCTCATTATGTGTCAAGTCATATTTTAGTATCGCTAAAAAATGTTCTCGAAAGAGGGGCGCCTGGGTGGCTCTGTCCGTGAAGCATCTGACTTCTCAATTTCAGCTCAGGTCGTGATCTCACTTTTCTTCAAAAAGAAAAATGTCCGAAAGAATCTCAGAAGCCCCCAATCACAAGCACTGAATTAAAACGACCCTCTGCATATTATTAAAGTGTTCCAATGTGCGTTCGCCTTGTTCGGCCAGTAGTTTTATGACTTACCTTTGAATATTCTCACTCTTGATTCACTAACTTTATCCCTTCAAAGTGGCACTGTCCCAAGTTTCTGCAAATGTTAAAGTAGGATGAAGGAATTCTCCAGGCCCCTTTAGGGCCAGGGGTGTCTTTATTTTGTTTGCATGATAGTTAAAATTGGTTTCTTCCATGTTTGGTATGTGCTTGCTAATTACTAACCTAAAACTGATTTAACTTATAATTAACGCTCAATCATATAAATGGCAAGTTCCATATGATGTTTTAAATTTAAAGGCAACTACAAAGGAAAGTATCCTAAATGTGAGGGTTTAATAGTTCCAAAAAATACTCAACAACTGCTCCCCCCACCAAAAAAAAAAAAAAAAAAAAAAAAAAAAAAAATCAGAAAATACATATCAGTGTAAATTCCAAACTGGAAAATCCTGCTTAATTTTTGAAAACTCTAGTTATTTTACTTCACAAACCTTCCTATTCCTCTGACAGAAGGCTACAGCCAAGTAAACAACTCAAAGATGACCCACGAATTTTATACGAGGATTGTGAAATTGTTAGTAATGGCCAAATCTAACAATAGAGTTCCTGGCTGCATTTAAACAGAACATTTCCTAACAAGGCTGCTCACAAGGGCAGTGGCCTTTGCCCTTAAATGATATTAAAAAAAAAAAAGAAGGCAATGTAATGATTGTAGCTAAAAATCGACCCAACTACCACGTATACAGAATTTGTATGCTAACCTTAGAACAGATTTTTTTTTTCTTTAATGTTTGGGGATATGGAAAGAGTTTGAGTTTTTCTCATGTCTTATTTACATATATTAGCTAGGAATAACATGCGCTTATTTTCTTCTAAGAGACATTTCTTCTCTAATGTCTACGTGATAAAAAATACTGTACAGAGATGGACCCTGTCTTCTGTAATGACGCACCCACTGGGAGTGGGTGTACCAATCAAGAATACACATTTATTTACCCTACCGATTAAGGCTAGCACCTAACTGGCCTTAAGGAAAGCAAATGCAGTGACTGATATAGAGAACTGTAACTACCTGAAGAATAGAGGGGGAAATCTTAAAGGTTTAAAGGGTAGAACCCAGAAGCAACTGCATGTTAACATGCTGTGTTGTTTTGTTTTGAACTTCTTGAAAGAACAGGTCAGGTGCTAACGCAAGACTACAGCGTGTGTCTTCTGTAACCTCAAGCAAGGACACAAGGGCTTGGAAAAAGCTGCCTTGCTTGTCCAAGCAGGCGGCAGTGCTGTGGGTCATTCATAAATAGCAGAGCCCAAGTTACCTGTATTTCCCTGGCGTGGTACACGATGATCAGCCCGAGCAGGATGATTGTGGAGAGACTGATAAGGCATTTCAGAGCTAAGGAATACAGTGACGCCTGCAACACATCAGACAGAAGCACTTTTAAGAAACAAGTACTTTTGACCACCTTCCGGGAGTGGGGGTCAGTCAGTCCCCAGCAAGTGGAATCGAACTCCCAGGAGGAGGATGGGGATGAGGGGAGTACCTGTCTTGGCTCTGTGATCTGTCAGATCACTGGGTCTCAAAGGGAAGGGAGAGGAGAACAGGGCAGGCGGATGGCCAGGCAGCGCATCCGCGCCATCACAGACTCAAGCGCAGATCCCGGCTCTGGAAACCGAGAGCGAGTTATTGCTGAGTTTAAGCGCTTTGGGTTGAAAGGGGCCTCTGAAATCCCAAGCACACATAAAAGAATAGAGCAGGCTTTCCCCCACTGACTCCTGAAGCTACTTATTTAATGTGCCCAAATGAGCTGGGCACTCGCTGCCTCTAGAACTTTGGCTGCGCACAGAAAGGCTTCCTCTCCTAGAGTTGCCTGGAGGATCAGGGGTGCGTCCGAGCAGTGCTCACCGTCCCGGCGGGCACCTCCGACCGTCCAGAGGAGGCTCGGACCCGCCGGCAGAGAGTTCCCACCAGTGCTTACCCCAACCACCCAGCGTCCGGCCCGCGGCTCCGGAAAGCTGGGGCGGGGGGAAGGGGGGGGGAGTGGATTCCAGCGCCTACCTTGTCGTAGGCGCCCCACGACAGCTCGGTCTCGATGACCATGACCACGATGCCGAACATGCCGAAGATGAGCGCGTAGTCGCTGAGCCGCTTGCGCTTCTCGAACAGGGCGCGCCGGTGGCCCAGCTTGTAGCCGATATTCTGGTTCTTCTTTTTGCTGGATTTGGTGCCACTGCTGCTGCCATGCCCGCTGCCGCCGCCGCCGCCGCCACCGCCACCGCCGCCTCCAGCGCTGCCGCTGCCACCGGCTCCGTAGAGCGCCAGGTTATTGGAGTTGTTGTGCTCCGGCTTAGACACCACGATCTCCGGGGCTGAGGACGAAGCGGCGGCGGCGGCGGCTGCAGACGGGGAGGACGCGCAGCCACCTCCTCCGACGGGCGCGGAGGGCTGTAAGGGCTGCGCCTCCGAGTCCATTTCGTGCAGGTTCCGGCGGGACGCGCTCAAGTTGCTGAGCGGCCGCATGACGCCCCCGTTGTACCTGCAGCTGCTCATGGCTATTTCGGTGAAGGGGTTGCTCTCGCGGCGCGCCTGGGGCTGGTGGTGCTGGTGGTGCGCCGGGTGCGGGTGGTGGTGGTGGTGCGAGAGCGGGGGCCCGGAGCCCAGGCTGCCGAGGCTGCCCGTGGGGCTGGCGGCGGGCTGCAGGCTGTGGCACTGGTGGTACTGGGAGGCGGACGCCGGCTGCTGCGTGTACTGCTGCCGGAGCGCACTGGCATGGCTGGACGGCGTCAGCTCGCTCACATTGAGCTGGCTGCCCCGGCGCGACGAGCAGCAGCAGCAGCACGACGAGCCCGACAGCGGCGAGGAGGTGCGGGTCCGGAAGGCGCCGCCGGGCGAGGAGGTGCGGAGCAGCAGGGACAGGTTATCCCCCGCCCCCGCCCCCGCCGCCGGGGCACCGGAGGAGGCGCAGCTGTTGCACCGGAGGCATGGGCTGCTGCCGCCGCTGCCCGGCTGCTGGTGCGCGAGGTGCGGGTGGTGCTGAGGGTGCGGGAGGGACGCGAAGGGCGGGCACGGCTTGTCCTGGCTCTGTTGCTGCTGCTGGCAATGCAGGTGTGAGGAGCGCGGCGGCGGCGGCTGCTCTGAGAAGAAGCCGCGCTGGAACTGCAATGGGGTTTCCATGTCAGGGCTGTTAAAGCTGCAGGGAGACCAGGCGGTGGTGCACCCTGCGCAATGCGTTATGGTCGGGAGCGGGGACTCCTGCTGCTGGTGCGAGGAAGGGCCCATGCCGGCTCCGGTAGAATCCAGGCGGAGAGTCCGATTGGTCGGGCGCACCAAAACAATGGGCATGACATCACCTGCGGGGACCGAGACTGAGTTTGCGGCGCGCGCGGCTTAGGGGAGCGCGTGTGTGAAAGAGAGATGGGGAGGAGGGAATCTGCAGGATGAGAACCCTGGGGTGCGCAGGCCAGGGCAGAATGGGGTTGGGGGGGGGGGGCGCACCTGCCGTTTGGGAGCGCCTGGGAACAGCACCCGGCTGGGGAGCCCCAGGCAGTGCGGCCGGGCTGCAGGGAAAAGAGAAGAAAGGGGCGTCCCTGCCTCCCTCCTTCCATCCCTCCCTCGCCGCCGCCCCCCACCCCCCACCCCCCCAGCTGGTGCCGGACGCGCAGTCTAGATCACCTGCGCCGGGCACTGCAGCACGTTGGGCCACCCCAGCAGTGGGTCAGGCGCGGGGACAGTGCGGAACCCCTGCCACTCGTCCGCCCGCGTGCACGCCTCGCCGGGCTGCAGAACAGCAGCCCCCTCGCCTCACGCCCACCTCTCCCCAGTCGTCCCGCGGAGAGTGGGCAGCGGGCTGCCCGCCAAATAACTGCGGGGGCACCCGCTTAGGAGAGAAAAAGTTTGGCGACTGGCTACGCCAGTGCAGCAGGGCTTAGGGAGAACCCCGGCGCCAAAGCCCAGGTTTGGCCGCTGCGAGTTCCGAGCGAGCCCTGCGCCGCGATCATTCCCCCGCCGCTTGGCTCCGGGGCCCGGGAGTCGGGATTGGCTGAGCGGCGCTCCGGCCCGAGTGCGCTGCGGCGCTGGGAGGGTTAACCGCCTTGGCACTCGGGGCCGGGGGAGGATGGGGGCGGGGCCGGAGGAGGGGATCCCCACCGTCCGCGGGAGGAGCCCGCTCGGGCTTCCCGGGTCCCCCTGGCGGGGGCGGAGGGCTTTCCCAGCTACCGCCCGCTCACATTTGCGCCTTCCGCGGAACATGAGGGGCTGGCGCCCCCGGCCGCCGGGTCCCCGGGCTCTGGCGCTCTGGCCCTCTGGCTTCCCCAATGGGTAGGTCCGTTGGCTTCTGCGGCGGTGGAGAGGCGGCTCGCTCGAGGGTACGGGGGCTGCTCAGCGGCCGCCGGCCGCCAGCGCCTCTTCTGTTCCTCTTCCTCCTCCCCACCTGCAAAGCACAGACAAAGCAAAGGCGGGTGTCACTGATGCGCACACACCGAGCATCTCCTTGGCGGAGCCCTGACTGCGGCGGCGGGTGGGAGAGGGGCCTGGAGCGGGCTGATTCGCACCGGTAGTTACAGCCTGGCTGGGAAATTATTAATAACGACAACTCCGGCTGAATGTCCACTCCGGGGACAGTGCTGGAGTTTGGCCGGAGTCGGGTATAATTATTTACTTTCTAATAAATCCATGAAAATGGCATTTTGTGTCTCACCAATTTCCTGCAATGTGCTCTTCTCTTAGGGGATATACCAACACAAAGCAGTAGGGGACCCTTTTCGAGGGCTGTGACTGTTCCGTCTTAAGCCCTTCTAGTTCGTTTTTCTTTGTAAATTGAAATCCCCGTCTCCCCGAGGAAGGAAATGGCAGACACTAGCCAGCTGAATATTTGTTTCCGTTTTAAATCGTAATTTTAAAGCGTGATTTTTATGATCAATATTATAATGAATTAGACCAAGAAATTGGAGTGTAAGCAGATAACCCTCATTAGGTAATTGGAATTTTCAGCTGGATCCAATTTCTTGATATTCTACTCGACATCTGCCCTGAAGTTGCTTACCAGGTACCTTGTCCTCACAGTGTGTGTGCGCGTTTTCAATGCCATGGAGTGAATAATTCATTTTAGGATATCCTTTGGACACGGGTTAAACAATTTTAATGTTTTGTACGTGCAAGTAAACAGATCCACAAGAAGAAAAGGACAGGGTTGCTTTTAGGCCCATAGACCTCGACTTCAGACACTGAGTACTCTCACAATGGACAGTTTTCAATAGCCTTGGTCAAGCGTAGAATTTGAATAGCTAAAAAGTGGAGACAGCATTTTGTTTTTATCATCTCCCATGATTTTTGGCAATTCAATAAAACATGTTTAGAATTCTGAAAGTCATCGAATCGCTGGGGTGGCTGAGTAGATAGTGCATGAATTGCATGGTGAGCATGACCATTGCAAGCAATTCTAATGAGCTGAATTTCAAATGACAATGAAGCCTTCCAAATCAAAAGTGATTCACCTGCTGGGGTGAAACAAAATTCAACTCAAGCACAAAATCAATCATACATTCCTTTTCACTTTATAACCCATTCTATAGGCTTCTTCCAGTTGCTCTGTGTAGCTGAATCGAATGCAGGGGATGCCTGGGTGGCTCAGTCAGTTAAGCAGCAGACTCCATTTCAGCTCAGGTCATGATCTCAGGGTTGGTGAGATGGAGTGCCTCATTGGGCCCTGCACTGACAGCACAGAGCCTGCTTGAGATTCTCTCTGACCCTCCCCCATGCGCATGCTCTCTTTCAAAATAAACATTTTAAAAAAGAGAAAAGTTTGATTCTTCTTTACAAATTAAATTCTTCAAGGAAGGGTTACCACGGTAAATCACTACTTCGCTTAACCTTTCATAAATTTAGAAAAAAGAGGACATAGTTGCCTCCCCAAATATCACAATTGTTGCCAGCTGCAAATTAGGTAAAGGTTGTAAGGTATATGGTGTAAAACACCATAAGGAATGGCTGTGTTCTATGTATCACACTGACTTTCTCAAATAGCAAGTTCAAGGCTTCAAAGAGAGGTTCCATACACAAAACAACAGGGACAAAGTATCATGTCGTTTGCCATGTATATCCCTATGCCTTGGTTAGAGATTAGGTGCAGTACCATGAATCATAGAGAAACAAAGAGCGTTGACTAAGATTTATGGCAATGACGTACGGAGTTCCCATCGCTCACAAAGGGAGCTCAGGGGGAGGACAGAATGCATACAGTAAGAAAGAAGTGGAGATCTGACCCACAGTATAAGGAATTGCCAGAATACCAAAACTCAGATTGATAGTGCTTCCACCCAGCTGGTTTTTTTTGTTTTGTTTTGTTTTTTTGTTTTTTTTTTTTTTAAAGCTCATGAAATCATAACATGGAACTCGCCATGACTGGGGAGAGAGAAGTCAATCAGAGGTATATCATCTTTCTGTTTTAAGGAATCACCTGCTCACACACACCCAAAAAAAAGTCACCTTGCTAATAAATGACCGTGTGTGGAGAGTACAACAATCCTCTCCTCAGTACGATGATGAAAAACCTCAAGATGCCCCCAACAGCCTCTTGTTTCATTTTTTTTGTCGGTGTCCTCATAACCTGCTGGTTTGGGGCATCTTACTCTATTGGTTTGTGACACATTTAAGAAGTTCCTGTTTCCATCATTGTTCTCTTCTTTATAAAATTAACAAATGAGTCTTAAATATAGATGTAAACCTTTAAAAACTGTCTATCATAATTTTGCCTTTTTTTCCTGTAAAGGATTATAGAGAAACATGAAACAAAGTCAAACAGAGCAACAAAGACAATGTCCTTCCACAGGGATGGTGCTGTGCATGTAATAGATGCTCATTTATATTTCTAACACCCAGGAGGGAAAGAGAGGGAAGCGATGAAGAAAGTTGGAAATAAAGGTCACAAAACAAGCCCCATAACCCCTGAAGGATAAGCTTTTGGAAAATTACATTTGCTTCTCTTTCTGCCATGAAGATATAGAAGTGCTGGAATTTCTCTAGTTTAACACCAGAGGTCATACTCATCCACAAAATGCATTTCAAATCTAACCAATTAGATGCCTTCCTTGATTTCCAGTACCATTTTTTGAAAAATTACCTGTTTTTTTGGAATAGACTAGAACTGTGTTCCCGTATTTGTGAACATGCTTGTTCCCATATTTGTGAACACGTTCCCAAGCTTGTGAATATGCACAGACACATAACACCCCCCACACCCGCCCACACACACTTACTAGGTGTCTTAGAAGAAGGGTTTTCCCAGACCACATTGTGGGGGGGGGGGCTTGGAAAAAGTGGCAGGTTTGCATATGCCATTGCTGATAATTCTCTTTTTCACAGGAATTATTTGTGCCCTCCCCCTTCATTGTGCCTTCAAAAGCAAGACTCCCTGAATTTGGATACTTCTGGTCTATTTCCAAAGGCCATCAGAGCAGTTGAGGCAGGCACCCAGGGCATCTGGTACCCACAGTCTGAGGGAAACTTTGACCTACAAAATAAATGTTTTTCTGAGATTTTCTTTTTCCTTTGCCCACATGAGAAAATTATTTGGTTGGTGCCAAACAAAGAGGTTGCAAAAAGACACAGCCTGTCTGAACTTAGTCTGCTTAGTGGTAAATCTAAGTGAGGAATAACAGTAATACCAGAGTTATTTTCTTAGCACAATAACAAGTCCACATTTGCCAAAACAGAACAATTAAGAGGCCATAAGGACAGTTATTTTTATTTTTATATTAAAAAAAATTTTTTTAACATTTATTTATTTTTGAGAGAGAGAGAGACAGAGCCCAAGCCGGAGAGGGGCAGAGAGAGAGAGAGGAAGACACAGAATCCGAAGCAGGTTCCAGGCTCTGAGCTGTCAGCACAGAGCCTGATGCAGTGCTCGAACCCACAAACTGTGAGATCACGACCTGAGCCGAAGTCAATGCTTTAACCGACTGAGCCATCCAGGCACCCCAAGAGCAGTCATTTTTAAACCACAGATTATCCTACCTCCTAAGAAATAAACCGCATTTGAAGAAAACATTAGAATAATCATTATAAGTATTCTTTATACTTCTGCATCATGATCAGAAAGTGTCTAGACCTGAATGAGCTTATTGGTGACAGTCTTGTTAATTTTTAGCCATAGTGCCATTATTCAGGGGCTGATTACCATGTTGGGGACTATTCATTAACTTCATTAACTTTCCAAATTTTTTCTACTATCATCTCTGTCTTGCTAATTGGCCAATCTGCCAAAGTCTCAGGAGCGCCAGCCAAAAAAAAAAAAAAAAAAAAAAAAAAAAAAGAAGAACATATACTAGTTTTGCTAGAAGTGAACC